GACTGTGACTCTGGTACTCTGTACTCCACTGAACCGGCCAGCCGGTTATCGCCAGGTGAATCATGATCTAGCCTAATAGAGCAACACCGGTCCGGTCGGATGTGATTGGCTAGTCTCTTCTCTCCTTATCAGTGATCCTTATCTGGGGTTCCGCCCTTGGTTCTCGACTCTAGTGGCTGGATCGGAGATATGCTAGGGGCTTTCTAGATGAGTTAGTGGTATCTTGACATGAAGGACTCAACCGATAAGACCACACATTGCCGCTGTTCCGGTCTGGTTATCCTTTCCCCAAGAGCCATCTATAGGTCAATTCTAGGTACACAGAGCAGATTAATAAATGATAATTGGATTATTTCACACAAACAAAAAGATTTAATAGTCCCCTTCTGCAAATCTAAGTCCAATGGGGCTAGCGTGTCGCGAGCTCAAGCAGCCAAGCTAGTCAGCTGAGTGACTAGGTAGTAGGTTCGCCAGAATCTGCAGCTCACTATCAGCATTTCCCACATGTCCCACTTTCCCCACAAAGTGCAGACTCGGTTGAGATGAGCGACTGTACATTCTGCGGCATTATTGGGCGCATCAACAGACTTCTACTATGTTATACCTAACCTTGTCCTTATTATCATTAGGACAGCGAGATTCATAGATCTTATGTCTGTTGGACTGGTACTTTCAGTCTTGTATAGTGAATCTCAGATTGCAGTACAGGGTAGGTTAACAGACATGTCTTGATATAATAGTAAGTAATTGATAACTATACTACCTCAAAGCAATCACCACTTCTAAAACAGAAAATCTCCACGTATGTCAAGCCAATACAGCAAGAGCCTCACAAAGATACTCCGACTATCCTGAGCGTTTAAGACCACAGAAAGTTCAGCTTTGCTAATCCGCGTCGAGGCTTTGGCGCCTTCTGGGGCTCATTCTGGTAACGATCAACCAAGTGACGAAGTTGGACGTCTTCCAACGGAATGACCTTTGTCTTGAACCAAAGCTTATAGCCGAAATACATGATAATAGTAAAGGGCAAGTTGAAGTAACTTGAAATGAACGTCTCGGTCTCCCAGTGGCCATGCAAAAAGGTTGTGTAGCCGCCAGTGAAGAAAAGCAGAACAAACAAGGCAAGAGAGGCATAGGTCGTGTATGGCTGGAAAGGAGCAGCCCAAGGAAGCTCCTTTTGGCGATCGATCCCTTGCTTGTTGCAGGCGTGGACGAATCGTAGATAGACGATGCAGATGGTAATCCAGTTGACCAGGGTAGAGATGGAGACGAGATCCTGCAGCCAGGTGAAGACTGTGCTAGCCGAGTCGGAGAGGGTCATGTATCCCAGAGCCATGAAGAGACCATAGAAGGAGACTGCGAGATAGGGGATACCAAATCTGTTGATACGCAAGAAAATGGACGGGGCTTGACCCTGAGCTGCCATTCCGTAAAGGATTCTGGAACCTCCAAGCACGTTGGAGTTACCCGCTGACCAAGCCGAAGTGAGCACAACTGCGTTGACGATTGACGGTACAGCCTTGATGCCTGCGTTTTGAGCAGCAATGACAAATGGCGACATGGAAGCGTCTCCCGTCCATGGTACTAGCTTCTTGTCGGTGGACGGGACGACCAAGCCGATCATGAAGATGGTCACGACGTAGAAGAGGCCGATACGGATAAAGATACGTTTGGCGGCCATGGGGATAGACCTACGAGGATCCCTCGTTTCAGCCGCAGCCAGGGTGATGTTCTCTATGCCTGAGTAGGCGTAAAGCGCATTGTTCAGCGTCTTCCAGAAGCCCAAGAACCGGCCAAGAGACCCAGCAATGCCGAGGTACTGAACCATGGGCCCATAGGGACTTTTCCAGTAGTCAAAGCCGATGGCCTCGCCTTTTGGACCACCGCCGCATGTAATGACCAGACACATGATATTGACGCCAACAATGAGCATGATCTTCAGCATGGAGAAGCCGAACTCGAGCTCGCCGTAGATACGCACGAATAGCAGTGAACAGACAATCATGGGAATCCCAAGCACCGTGATCCAGATGGCGCTGTTGATGGTGACCCAGTATTCGATGATGACGGCGGCGGCGACGATCTCGGCGGGGATGGAGACTACGTACGAGTAGACCTGATTCCACCCGTTGGCAAAGGCAAGGGCAGGGTCGCAGAAGAGTTCGGCGTAGCGAATGACACCACCACTCAGAGGCGCCAGAGCACCCATCTCGCCAACGCCGCAGACGACACTCGAAACAGCCAAGCCAATGATCAGATAGGACAGGAATGCACCGAGTGGACCAGCATAGGCAATGGCCCTTCCAGAACTGAGGAAAAGGCCAGTACCAATTGTGCCTGCCAGAGCAATCATCTGGATGTGTCGTTGGTGTAGACCCTGCCTGAGCTCGTGAGACTCAACGACCGTTCCAGCCATATTCTCGACGTCGCTGTCCCGCCGTGTATCTGTGACAGGATCACCGAGTTTCTTTTCCGAAGGCATAGTGTCGACTTTGAGAAGTTGGGGCGAAGTGTCGTGAGTTGACATTTGGCTCTTGCCAAGCGAGGAACGGGGGCTGAAATGGATACTGCTGCAAAAGCGACCGAAGCAGAGAAAAGATACTGAGTCAACTCAAGATAGTTTCTCTGAGAAGCGAGATGAATGGAGGATCTCAAGTATTTGTTTCCCTGTATTACGAAACGTTTTTATGTCTGCCACGATTGGCCACGGCTTATCAGTAAGGTAGGCCTAGTGCCCTAGGCAGGTCTGGGGAAGTTCTGGCTAGGGCGATAGGTGCAGATCAGACCGGGGTCGACCGGCTATGGAGATATCAAGAGCACGATGAGACCAGATTGGCTGCCTTTGACTATGAAGGTGTAGGGCCCGGCAATCCTCTATGCCACGGTACTCCCACCGTGGTGAGCGATATAGCGTTAGCGGCATTGTCCACCGGGCCCGGAGCAATTTGTCCAGATTGGGTAACGCCGGCCCGGTGGACCCCCGACTCCGGTCTATCTAACTGTATACAACCTGTCCCCAATCAAGCTTACAAATTCCAGCGAAATCGATAGCAGTGAGCACAATCCTCTAAATAGAGTTCAGCTAAACTAGAACAGTATACGCCTCTTAATAGCCTCTACAAAACATACCTGGGATACCTCAACCTGATCCTGTAAGCAAACTTTCATCACATCATAGCGCAGTCATGACCATCTCAAACGGAAACACATCTCGCATCGCCGGTACGCCCAAGTGCATGCCCGGGCCGAACCCAGCGCCTTGCTTCTGGCAACAAGAGGTGCCACAGGAATTGACTGAGCTGCGAGACCACCGCTCGTCAGAGCAGCTCCTCGACTACAGCGACATCGTCATCATCGGCGCTGGATTTGCAGGACTCAGTACAGCGCATCACCTCGTCCGCGATGCCGGTGCCAAGTCTATCTGTATCCTCGAGGCCAGGGGCATCTGCTCTGGTGCCACTGGTCGCAACGGCGGACACTGCAGGCCTGACCTCTACGGCCACATTCCCACCTACATAGATCGAGCCGGCGAGCGCGCTGGTGCTGAGATTGCCGAATTTGAGATTGCCAACCTGCGCGCCATCAAGAAGATCATTGATGAGGAGAAGATTGATTGCGACTTCACTCTTACTCGATCCATCGATGTCTGGTGCAACGAGGACTCAGCCAAGAAGGCCGAGGCTGTCTACCAATCAATGGTGTCTCACAACTTTGAGTATATTGATGATGTTGTGTTTTATACAGGCGACAAAGTCGAAGGTGTAAGTGACCTAAATGCCAGCCCAAATTGCTTTGCGTACGGCACAAAGACGTTGTTAGAGATAGAAATTGACCGAGCCATCTATGTAACAGATCTGCGGTGTCAAAGGCGCGGTTGCATGCGCCAGCTTCACGGCTGGCACCATGTGGCCTTTCAAATTCTTGATGCATCTCACAAAAAAACTCCTCGCCGCAGGCGTCAACATACAGGCACATACACCTGTCACTTCCGTGACGCCAGATCCCTCGGGTGATGGCTCGTTCATCGTCGAGACACCGCGTGGTAAGATGCGAGCAGGCAAGGTGATCCACGCCAACAACGCCTATGTTTCAGCACTTCTCCCGGAATACAGCAAGAACATCATCCCATGTAAGGGCATTTGCTGTCGTATCACCGTCCCAGAGGGAACTACCGCGCCGTTATTGAACAACTCGTACATCAACCGAACGAAAGACAACGCACTATCATATTTCATTCCTCGACACGACGGCAGCATCATTGTAGGTGGTGCTTCATCCGTTTTCCGGCCATTTAAGGAACAGTGGTATGACAATGTCGACGACAGTGTCCTCATCGACTCTGCCAAGGACTACTACGAGGACTACATGCAGCAAACCTATCGCGGCTGGGAAGAGACTGGTGCCAAAGTGAGCAACATCTGGACAGGCGTGATGGGTTACTCATATGACTCAAATCCACACATTGGTAAAGTTCCCAGCAAGGATGGGCAATTTATTGTAGCTGGTTTCAACGGGCACGGTATGCCTGTTATCTGGTTGGCAGCCAAGGAACTGGCTCGGATGGTATCCCAAGGGACTAAGTTTGAGGAGACGAAACTGCCTCGCTTGTTCCAGACAAGCCAGTTCCGTATTGACCGGGCACAAAGCGGTAAGGAGGAGGATGGTGATATTATAGGCACTGGTAACTTTAGTACGAAAAAGCCATAGCCCAACAATATTAATCGGATAACAAGTAGGCTCTAATCAGGATTCTCTAAGACCATACTTATACTTAGACATGCTTCTTATATAGTATCTGAGATAACGCCATGATGACGATTGGCCGAGTTTGAGGTTACCTGGATGATCTGTTATAACAATCTCTTGGCTCTAAAGCATCCCCGTACTGTTCCCTTGGGGTGTCCCTCCTATCTACTCTTTTCCAAGTTTGGTCTGCCATGGAATATAGCAGGATAATCTCACGTGGCACCAAGAGAACAAGGAACAGAACGAGAACTACACTAGCTATGCATAGACTCCCACCACATGAAAAGATCTGGAGCCAAGTCTAAGCCCAGAAGAGCATTCCAGTCACTTACTCCCTCAACTGCTATATCACAAAACGAGCAAGGATAGGCAACTTGCCCGTTGTCGTCCTCTACCCGATTTTCAGCACCAATACTGACTTCTCCATTTCTTGCTCTTGGTGCCATAGTGGGACTTCTCGACGGGGCAGGAACGGCTATCTGTACCATAATGCCCAGAAACTTGGCATATCGGATTGCCATATGCGAGTCATCTGGGGAGCCATTGTGGACTGCATTGATTACGCGGTGTAGAAGATAGATGTTTGGATGTGCTCGATTTATATCCTTGGTTTTTGTAAGAGTTGCCTATTGTGTTATACTCGTTAGTCCTATACAGGAATACCTTTCTGTTAGAATCTATAATATACCTTGAGTAGATGAAGGCTTGCAGCAACGATGAATAGCCAACATCTGACTGGGAGATACTTGATGAGTCCTGAAGGTTTCAGAAAATCCACGACTATAGATAGAAGTGCGTGGCTGGCCTGTGTTGCTTGATCCTCGAACTCAGATAAGGCTTGAAGCGTTTCTTGTGGCAGGGAGGTGGAACCAGTTTGGACGGCTTGAGCTGCCGGAGCGAAGCAGAACAGGTTTATGTAGTAAAACTCAATGAGAAGACAGGCACTCAATAAAGAATTGACATCTGGGAATGGTGAGCTGGGATATATCTCTTCGTTCCTTGAACCTACCATCTTGATCATAGTACTGTCGTCTCCAGCGATGCAGGGCTCTTCGTAAACGTTCCAAATGAGGCACGAGATCTAAGTCAGAAAAAGACCCATCTCTGGATTTTAATGAGAGCAGGAAATCTCTCCCCTTTCGAGTCTCTATGGAGAGTTCAAAATAGCCTTCCCAGAGGTGACTGTTCGGTAAAGACTCAGTGAATGTCGTTGCGAATCGGTCTTTGACTATTTGTCTCGACCTGTCCGGCAACAAGGGCTCTAGGCCAAGTCGAGTTGCGAGACCTTCATCAGCGAGGTATATGAAAACACAGAGAAGACTATTCCACTCTTGTCTGATAGAGTCCAGATTGGAGGATGTAAGTCTGGGTCTAGAGGATTCGTTCTGGAAACAGCAGCCTTCGTGTGCTAAAGCAATGGCGTTTGAAAGAAGACTCCTATTCGAGAGTCATGAGCACAATCGATCGACATGGGTAAGTCAACCGGGCAATTCATATGCTTACCATGACATCTTGTTGCTTCGGTATGCCGGTGATACTATGTTTAGCCTCTCCATCAGTGATACCATCCCATACCGTCGCTGTCCAGTAAGTGAGTCTGTGTTGTTGGACGAAGGCTTGAAGCCATGACTATCGACTTGTTCATGAGATTCGTCTTCCCCCTCTGTGAAGTCAGATGGATTATTTATGGCCTTCACATGCCAGTCAATCAGAAGCAGCATCGACGCTATCGCGCCGAGAGAACGCGTCGTCGTAGACCCCCACATGACGGACTGGAGGGAACGCTGCAGGATCCTCCACGCTTGCCAGTGTATACGCTCTGACCTAATCTCGCCATGGTCTCCAGGCAGTGGAAAATATCTCGAGGAGAGCGTGACGAGACAGACCACTAAAAGAGGCTCCTCAGTAACAAGCTGACCATAATTGGCCTGGTTGCGGTAGTAAGACGGTACAACTGGCTTTAGAGGCCATAACTGATCAAAGAAGAAGCCTAGGTAGTCCATCACTTCTTGTTGCAATACTATCCCCTTTTTAATAAGGGAGAAGCCTTTCCACGCTCTGTCCAGACTGAGGGCTACATCTGAGGCAACAGTCGGAGAGGTAATAGATGGAACTTGGCTTTCGCGGCTCGGCGTGGCAGAAGGGTTGTTGTAGGCATGGGTACCGCTCGCAGCAAATGTGAGAAGGTCAAGGGCATCTGATGCATTATTTATATGCGTAGAAATAATCCGTGCTCTTGCGTCGAGGGCGGTTGGAGACCTTGGTTCTTGGGAAGAGTCGGCGATAGGTATGTCATCCATGTATTCCCTCGCATTGAGAGGACGAACCGGGGCATCTCGAGACTCGAGTGGTATTGAAGCTAGAATGTCGACGTCGGTGCCCGTGTGATTGTGACGCGACACTGACTCGGTGTCTTCGCCTGGAAGCGACAGCCTTCTTTTGGTGCGTCGCGATGCTCTGAACTCGCAAGGCTGATTGTCGGCCGAGCATCGCTTACACGGCCGCTTCTGATCCGATGCTGGCTCGCAGCGAGTTTTGCGCTTACGACATCGTTCGCAAGATAAGTACGCGCGGCGTCGTTTAGATTCAGGAGGTGAATTTGCTTGGTTGATGGGGACGAAGCCAAGCTGCAGACCCTGCCGGCTGCCGCTGTCATTGTGGTCCGTCATTTTTGGGTTATCGGAGCATTGTTACCGCATATTACCGTACCATAACAAATGCCTGACTGACTGCCGCTTGGAAGACTTGGGTGAATACTTCGGAGTTCGGCTAGTGGTAGGGAGGGAAACATCCTCGATGTTCGGATACAATTCTTGGTTCCGGCCCTTCTGAATATCCGGGGGAAGCTTGCCCCGATCAACTCTAACCCCGCACTGCACTTGTAATGCTCTGGACTAGCCTGATTAGGAACGCAGTTGACAACGGACTAGACGCTCTGTTTTATATTTGCCTTCATTTCTCCCTTATCATGAACATGCAGTTCTGCCCAGTACGAACGAAATAGAATTGTGTGAATTGGTCAGTTAAATCTTTGTCAAAGGGTTCTTGCTAGCAGCATATATACAGCCTTTATGCATCTATATACAGTCTCCTGCCAAACGACATGCATTTTCCCATTTTCTCAGTTCCAAGAGAGAGACCTCTAGATTTCTGCAATAGTTTTGTTTTCACGGGTCAAACACCTTGCCCGGATTCAATAACCAACTAAACACAGACTTAGCAAGTTTTCACGATTCATCGCGTGGCTGTCTTTATTGTGTACTTACTGGGGATCCAATGTGTCTTTGATAGCTTTCATAATACCTATCGTGGCTGGGCCGAGCTCCTTCTGTAAGCAATGCTTAAGTCTGTTAGCTGGAATAAGACGAATCGAGAGGCAAGAACATAGTCACCTTTTTTCCCAGTCCAATCCCATGCTCGCCTGATACTGTACCCTCCATTTCCAGTGCTCTCACCATCATCCCATCCACGCAATCCGACACAGCTTGGCGTTCCGTCTTATCATCTGGGTTGTACATGACGACCTGGTGAAAGTTGCCGTCGCCGATATGTCCCAGAACACTATTGAAAAGTCCTAGTTGGCTAGCCTTTTGCTTTGATATCTCTATAGTTAACGTGTTAGCTCATGCCAATGTTGTAGGGATCATGCTGCTCACCAATTAATTCGGCCATTCGAGACAGAGGTACAGCAACATCTGTGGACCAAATCTGGGTGCCCTCGGGTCGGACGGCGAGGTTTGCCCACAAGGCTTGTTTTCTGGCAGACCAAAGGGACTGCATCTCATCCTCTGTTTTGGCAAACTCGAAGGAACGGCAACTGTTGGACCTGGCGATTTCTTTGGCCAATTTGATGCTGTCTTGAACTGCATTCTGGGAGCCTGAAAATCTGCGTTTTGATGAGTATTAGGACGTATTTAGGGACCAATAGCAATGACTTGCTACTTACTTAAGAAAAAGCGTAGGATGTTCGTCCCATAGCCTTCCGCCTGCTCCACCGCTCTGATTAATGACTTTCATCTGAACATCATCCATCATTTCCAGGGCAGCGAGGGGTATTCCCCGTCGCATCATCTTAAATGCCGCATCCGCCGCCTCCTTGACAGTTGAGAAAGTGGCTGTTGCAACAGAAAATTTCTCTGGAATTATGGCTAGCTTCAGAGTTGCTTCAGTGATTATACCCAGTGTTCCCTCAGATCCGGTAAAAAGACCAGTAAGATTATATCCAGCTGATGTTTTTCGAGGTCGGTGACGTGTTTTAATTACAGATCCGTCCGAGAGCACTACTGTGAGGTTAATAACATAGTCCTTCATGGTTCCATATCTCATGGCATTGGTACCACTGCAGTTCGTAGCTATCATGCCACCGATCAATGCAGTAGGGCTGGGGTCAAGTGGCAAGAAGAGACCAGTATTCTTGATTTCTTCATTCATATTAGTCCAATTGACACCGGCCTGGACCACGATATCCATGTCCTCGGGGTGAAAAGCCACGATTCTATCCATGCCAGATAGGTCGAGACATACTCCAGAATGGGGGGAGCTGAAGTTGCCTTCAACGCTGGATCCAGCTCCGTATGGAATTATCGGCACTTTGTACTTGGTGCAGATACGGGCAATACTTGAGACCTCTTCTGTCGTCTGTGGTCGGACAACTGCCACTGGTCGTACGTCAGTATTTGACGTAGACCACTCTGAATAGCCATGTTCATCAAGGTCATCCGAGTCCACGCTCACGATGCTTTCACCGAGTAATTGGCGTATCTCATCCACGGCCTAAGCTGTCAGCAACCCCGTGTTTAGTAACATTCGAAGTCTCCAAAATAGCGTACCTTCAGCATAGTTGCTCTATCCGCATACACCATTTTCACCGAAATAAGTGAGCTGTCGCTTTCTCTCCATCTGGAAGGTGTGCCCTTTGCTGGCATCCTGAGTAGATCGATGCCTATCGACGGTGCGAGAGCCATGCCGCTCACAGCGACACCTAATCCCAACAGAAAGTACCCTAGAGGATAATGTCTCTGCCGACTGGATTGCGCATTGGAGGAAACATGTCTTGCGGATGAAAGAACTTGACGGCTAGCGATACATTGCCTTGACAGAGCTGACAATGACGGTCGGGACAAGCTCGAATAAATGGTCGATAGGATGACCATGTTTTTATTGTTTGGTATAAATGTGGTTTGCAAGGCGTTTTCTCGATCTTTAGGAACTTAATAGTTGTAAAAAGATTTCCATAAGATAAGTAGAAGGGTTTCTTTGTCACGTGCGTCTGAGGGTAATATCCAAGCGAAACAACTTTTACCCCATTGCTCAAAATCGGGATTGGTTGAATCATGGAAACAGTGGCCGAGGCAAATCGAAGGCTCGGATATTCCCAGAACAGACTAGCCAGTTCAGTATCCGACCGGCTCGGATATTTGTGGAGTCTCGGGACTGTTCGCCGCTGTGGCTCAACTGTCGGATTGGTGTAATTCAACCCGGGGTAATGCGCGGCAAGTGCATATTCAGTTGAAATAATGAGATCTGGGGTTTGGATCTGGGGTATGGATCTGGGGTTGGTGTGATCGAGGCAACTGCCATTAATTATTTAAACCCACGACATCAATCCACTCTGCCCAGCTAACTTCCGACAAACATCGCGGCAAGGTCTTTCTTTCATCGCCTTTGCTGCTTTCATACCTGTCTGAACTTCCGACACAATCCACTACCTAATGCCATCGATGATCACAACCATGACACGTCAAGAGAACGAAGTTAGCTCCAAGGCCAGCATTCATAGCAAATCATCTGCCATGAATCTTGAGACTGTCCCAAGTTCAGTGATTGGAGCCAGCGTCGAGCTTGATGAAGAGACGAACAGAAAGTTGCTTCGAAAGATCGATCGAAAACTGATGCCCGTGGTAAGACATATCTACCTGGCTGTATGATATAAAATTGACTTTAAAAGCTCTGCTTTACCTACGCCCTACAGTATTACGACAAGGCCATCCTCAGCCAGGCCGCCATCTTCGGCCTGCGAGAGGACCTAAAACTCACCACTGGCATCAGGTACTCCTGGGTCTCTCTTATCTTCTACTTTGGCTATATCGCCGGTACTTATCCCGCCTCATTTCTCGCCCAACGATACCCGATTCGAATCGTCTGTACGGCCATCTGCATTATATGGTCTTTTGTGATACTTTGCACACCGGCCTGTACTTCCTATACCGGACTTCTTATCAATCGCTTTATGCTCGGTCTTGTCGAGGCAGGTGTATCACCTATCTTCATGCTCGTCGTAGGCCTCTGGTATACGCACTCGGAGCAGGTCTCGCGATCTAGTTGGTGGTATTCCTGCAGCGGAGGATCTCTTCTTATCTCACCCTTGATCAATTACGGACTTGGCCACATCAAAGGAGGCGCTCTCAACTCCTGGCAGTGGATGTACATCATCGCCGGACTTGCTACTCTGGCCTGGGGTATTGCACTTTGGTGGCTGTTCCCTGATAGCCCCCAGCATGCCAAAGGGTTTACAGAAGCCGAACGCCACCTTCTCCTAGAGCGAGTTCGAGAAAATAATGCCGGTACTGAGGATAAACATTTCAAGTCCTACCAGTTCAAGGAGGCCTTATTTGACTATCGGCTTTGGGGTATTATGATTTTGTCTATTGTGTCCTGCACAGGCTCCGGTGCTGTCACAACCTTTGGAACCATTGTATTCAAGGATATGGGATTTGACGTTTTTACTTCGTTGTTGCTCAACCTGCCCATTGGAGCCCTCGCTTTCATCTGCATTCTCGGTTCAGGGTATATTGGTAGGAAGGTTCAGAACTCAAGGTTGTACATCATCGCCGGAGCATGTCTTCCTGTCATTCTTGGTTGTTCCCTGATATGGCAACTTCCAGACTCTAAGAAGGCAGGACGCATCGTCGGCTTCTATCTTGTCAACTTCTTTTCTTCTGCTTGGGTCCAGTGCATTGGCTTGGGGACTTCCAATGTTGCCGGACATACGAAGAAAGCTGTATATGCTGCTTCGACGTTTATCGGTTATTGTCTCGGAAACATTATCGGTCCACTCATGTTTGATGCGTAAGTGAACAACAGTTGCAGATACAGATAACCGAGCCTTTGCTGATAATTATAGGAAATTCGCCCCTCGTTATGACGAATCATTCACTGGGATCATGATCTGCTTTACTGTCTGTGTCTTTGCTGCACTTGCACTCCGATGGTTACTTGATCGCGAGAATAGGCATCGCGATACAACCTATGGCTCTCCCAACCACAATCAAGGCTTGGAGGATCTGACGGATCGGGAAAACAAATCGTTTAGATATAGGCTATAACTACTATGTAGTACTTTAGCTTATAATATTAGATATCAAAAACCCGAGGGTTAAATACCCCTTTAAATATCTTGAAATTAAATCCCTGCCTATATCATGAGTTTTAACTCTGGCCTCCTTCTGTGTTCAGCCTCGGCTGATATCTTTCCCTGAGCTCTGCTACTGTTGGCCCACGCGGTCTCTCTTCCTCGCCAGATACGTAAGATTGCTGCAGTGCCTCAATACTCCAGCCCTCTCGTCGATCCCGTGTAACCTCTCCCACTCGAGGATCTTTCTCGGCTAGAGTCTCTCTCACGATGGTCAAGATCCCTAAATACCCTTCCTGCACATTCTCATCCTGCTCCAGTCTGAGCTTCTCTCGCATGATATCTATAGGTGACTGTAATCTTCCCCTCTCGCATCTAACTGATATGTCAGCCCCTGCATCTAGTAGTAGCCGGATACAGTCCTCATCCGCGCTGCTCGCGGCTTCATGTAGAGGGGTGCTTCTATGGCTGTCTTTGCTTTGGCGTTGGTGTTTGCTTCATGTGATAGAAGAAGTGAGACACACTCCGGGTGGCTATGGCGTGCGGCCAAGTGTAGTGGTGTTCTTCCCTCTACGTCAACTACGTTGGCATCTACACTGTATCCCAACAAGAGTCGCAAAGAGTCAGTATGCCCATGGAGGGCCGCAATATGAGCCAGGCTGAGGTCGCCCGCCATCTTTTCCTTGATACTTGCATCCCTGACCAGGTGCCGAAGTATCTCGACCTCTTCCGGGTTGTAGCACGCAGCGGCTTGGAGAACAGGAGTGATATGCTGGCCGTCCCTCTCTACCGGAAGGGCAATGTCTGCACCATGTGTTGTGAGGAGTTCAACTGCTCGCTGGCTTCTGACCTGGATAGCTAGAATCAGGGGTGTTGTATCGCCCGAAGAGATGGTTGATATGCGGTTTATATCGGTGGGACTTTTATCAAGTATGGTCCTGAGGATGGCCTCGCCGTGATCACCTGGCTTGGTCATCTGATGAATCGCTGATAAAAGTGGTGTCCAGCCGTTAGCCGCCGCAATACTCGGATCGGCGCCTTGTTGAAGGAGGGGAGCAATGGCTAGGCTTGGATCATGGCCTGCTTCAACGGCAAAATGGAGGGCTGTATATCCTTTCTCGTCCGCTAGCTTGGGATCTGCCCCGAGATCTAGCAGGAGGGATACAGGAGGGGGAAACGGCCTCTTCATTGATGCTATGTGAAGTGGTGTTTGGCCGTTATGATCTCTGGCATCTAGCTGGGCGCCATGTCTGACGAGATTCAGGATCACATCTCTGTGTCCGAAGTCTACCGCAGTGTGGAGAGGAGTTAAACCGTCTAATGCTTGCGCATTCGGATTTGCTCTTCCCTCAAGAAGAAGACCTGCGATGGCATTTGTCCCGTAGAGACTGGACACGTGAAGCGGTGTCCAGCCAGCTTTATCCACGACCTCAGGGTTGGCTTTCCAGTCTAGCAATAGAGCAGCCATGTCTTCGTTGCCGCTACGGCTCACGGCGTGAAGTGCTGCCCACGAGTCAAAGCTCTGGATATTGGGATCTGCTTTCGCTTCAAGCAGGAGGGTGGCAGCATCGAGTTTGTCATGACAGACAGCGGCGAAGAGTGCTGTGTCTCCAATACCGTCTCTGATACTGATACTAACCACAGGCTGCTGAAGGAGATCTTTCAGCTGGGGTATGTCTCCGCGGATTCCTGCCATAACGATGGGCTCGTTTCGTACAACCTGTCTCGCAATATCCGACATGGCGACAGCAACCTTGTGCGATGCGACTTTACCTCCACTACCGGCTCGTCAGCAGCCAACTTTGCGCACCAGTTGGCCTCCCACGGCGTGCCATACGTCCTCGGAATGGCTTTCAAGGTAACACATACTGCTGTCGAGATATTTACATCAGCGTTGCATGACTTTCTCATGTGGGATACGCGGAATACTCTCCTCGCAGTTTATGAAGCGCGCGCAAAGCTGAGGGCGAACAAAGAGCGGATGAGTGACCATTTTGGTCTCCCGATTTCTTTGCACGACGATATCTTGCCTGTACTGTATGCTAGTGACCGTCAACTGCACAAGCATTCAATGAGCCTTCTAAAAACGTCTTGTGAGATATCATCAGGCGTATCAACGACATCCGATAATCTCTTTGGCCGGGAACTCGTTATTGCGGAATCGTGTCTGTATCTTGTATGGGCCTCACGGGATAGGCAAGCAATCTTTGGTAAACAACTTGAGCAAATGGCTCCACGAGAGCCGTCTAATTAGGGATGTTTTCCACCTGGACTTCTCCTCCGACATCTCATCGTTGGACTCAGTTCTTTCCACCATCTGCCGACAAGTCGATTCTGCGATATACACAGAACGACTGGGAAAATGTGAGGCCGAAGACCTCATCCTTCAAACCATGTTCACGCAAGCTACCTTACTCGTCGTTAAAAAGGCGGAAGACGGCACAAACTGGTTAGCAGAACTCTGTTCAAATCTCACCGTCCTTGAAAGAGATGAGGACGCCGTTCATTTATTTGTTCTGATTTCGTCTAGAACGTCTCTACCGTCATTTCGTCGGAAGCTATCCAAGACCAAGCCTGGCAGACATTTCGCTCATGAATTAAAAGGTTTGAACTCGGTTTGTGCCTCAAACCTTGCAGAGAACATTCTCCGGCGCAAACAGTGTAAGGAAGAACCGTACTCAGCACTCTGGTACCGGCAAAGTATTCTTATGCTCCTCCAGCATAATCCACTGGCAATCCAAATTGTGATTCCAATAACCGCCAGCCGTGAGTCTCGCGAAGTCTACTGGCATCTGAAGTCAGGAAGCTTGGACCTGGACTGGGATGCTTTCCCTGTCAAGCAGTTATTCCTGCTGCGGAGGCCTCTTGTAGAGGACATCCCTGGCATCCTGAAAGCGCTCATCCCCTTCACCACTTCGGTGCCAGAAGACTATCTGGCCAACATCTTTGCAATCTACCGAGCCGGTCCCTCTACCAGGCAGGCATTGGTTGAAGCGGGCTGCACAAGCGTGGAAGGACTAAGAGCATCCATTGGTCGCCTTCGACTTCACCCCCTGTTTTCTCAGTTCACGCGGAATCAGCCCTGGTCAGAAGAAGACATCACCTCTAGTTGGCGCAGGGCAGCAGCGCACTACCACGATCGAAGTATTGACTGGATCAAAACAGGCCTATACTCCCCTACTACGCCAAAGTCCAAACCAAAGGATGAGTGGGAAAATTTGACAGCCGTTCTGAGCTATGTGATTCCAGAGCTCGATAAAGACACCGAAGTATCGGCACTTTTCGACCTCTCCTGGATCGTTTGCTCTTTTCATGTTTTTCACAAAGATATACCCAAGCACGCCGCCGACATGTTTGCTGATCTCACTCTCAAAGCGCTTAATGCCATGGCCCCCGAATTTGTACCAACAAGCAATGAAGGCCTGCGGTTTGTTGTTGATCAGGGCCTTTACGCCAGAGCGAGGAAGCTATCAGATTTCCAAATATTGCGTATCACACTATTAATGCGATTCCTCGTGCATTACTATTACGATATTTCACCAAAGACAGCTAGTATCTATCAAGATGCCTTGATGATCCTGCAAGATGCACTTCCGACGAGCCTAGATGACCAAGAGTTTTGCAGGCTATTTAGCATGTCGACATCGACATCGTTTCTTACAGACTGTGAACTGTCGTGCGAAGAGGGACGAATGCCAAAGACGATGGATTTATGGGACAACGTTTCCTCAGGTCTCGACCGCCCTTCGGACTTCCGCACGTTTGCCGATGTCTGGGGGGAAACGCACGCTTATAGAAGGCTGGGTTTTGTTTTGGACCTGAGTGAGACCTGGCGGAACCATCAAAACAGTGCGAGGGTATGCTACATCTGGTATGGTTTTGTGCAGCACGTATGCTAAATCCCTTAGTATTCTGTCGACTCATCCGATGACCTCTCACCCCTGCACTTGCTAGACACTCTGTTGGATGCGTTTGACGCTCTAAACAGTGCCTTCACAACCAGGAACAAGATCTGCCACCTCTTGATCAGAGTTTACGGGATGCAATCTAACGGTATGACACTCGGAGTCAACTTGATATCTTCGATAAATTAGCAGAGGTGAATCACAGTAACACAGGGTAATCATTCTTCGTTATAGGGCTAAGCAGAATATAGTTGTACTTCAACTCCAGGGACTGGGAAACCGCTCTCTTCGTCCTCGACAAGATTGACCAGTGCTCCAACGATATTTGCAGGTTCAGAGGTACCAACAATGACGAGGTCAGCATACTTGAACATAAACAATGGATGACCAATAGAAGAGTGCAGTGTCTCAAAAGTCTTGGCCGGAAATCAGAGTATAAGGCGCAGATTCTTGAGCTGAAAAATATTGTGAGTCGAAGAGAGGATCTATGGACGAGTCAGGATCGGCAGAACGAGCACTACCAGAATCTCTCCCTTATTAACAAACCCTGGATGAAGAAGGTTGATGAGCTTCTTAATTCCTTTGGGGGGACTCGCGTAGAAGAATACTACGATTTCGAGATACCACCAGGCCGCATAGGCGGGCTGTTCTTGTATTGATCACGAGTGTTTATGGCCAACGCGTTCCTCGAAATGCTGGGCGTGACCTAGTGGGATGAAAGTAACATATAGGAACATTGCACCAAGACTTAAGGGAAACATTTCATAGGCCTTGAGAGTGTTGTACCCTTATATATAATATCAGCATAAACACAGAGTATGCAAACAGATGTCATTATTAGCTCAAATAGATACACAGAGGTATGTGTATTTACACCTTGTATGCCAGATGCCCCGCAGTTGGTCAAGAACTGCGCAATGAGGCAGACGGCATGTTGGTTAGGTCTAAACTGGATTTGCCTTATAGACTTCTTCAAGCTATGAAAGATTTCAAACATATAGCCAGGGAAGATACAGATGGTATCAATCTTAATATGAACCTTAATCTCTGCCTTTGTTCTCTGAGGTTTTCTGAGACTCGCCGACTGCTCATATTCACTACTGTACTCTGGTATTTCATCTAAGCAGACTCCTTACTTGCTAATCCCGTTTGCTTATTCTCCAAGTTCTTGGCGTCTTGAGCAGCAATAATGTCCTCTCCCGTTATAGCATATTCCACCATGCTTTCAGGGGCTGGGAAAAAGTGGTTAAGGAGATAGTAGAAGATGCCCGCAGATAGGAAAGAGTAGATGTATCCGATGTAGAAGCTATACACATATTTTAGTCAGCATTCATTATTACGATGGAGAAGTGCAGAATGGAAGATAGGACTTACAGGTGTTGACCTCCTAGGGAGACACCGGTGTGACCACCGCCTGCTTGGACGATGTTATCGATAAAACCAGGAAGAGGAGGGGTGCAGCCAATGAAGAAGGCAACCACAGCACGCCAATTGGTTCCCCATTTCTGCGAGTACCGGTAAATGCCATGAAAGTCGTACATGTCAGGCACCGAGACTTTGCCGCGTCGCAGAATGTAGTAGCTGAAGAAGGATTAGACTTGGCGGATTCTCAAAGCATTATAATAGGGAAAGGCTAGGGCGGACGTACTCCGTCATGAGGATAGAGGTCATAGGACCAAGGAAGATGGTATAGCCGTTGAGGAAAGCGATGAACTTTTGGGCAGATGCCAAGATTTTCCACTATAACATAAGGTTAGCCATTTAGTCAACACAAACCCCCCGTTTTTTTTTTTTTTTTTTTTGGTGAACGAGACGTGGTAACACCAAAGAAACAAGGGCAGTTGCTTACCGGAACAAAGGCCCAGCTACCAATAATGGCGGCGAGAATTTGGCCACGTCGGATGTTGATATACCGGGGAGCAAAAGCCATCAAATCGTTGGCAGCACTAATTGAGTTGGCGGAAATGTTGATACCAAGTGTCACGATAATCAGGCCGATGGCGGCGAAGGCGGCAGCAGCACGACCACCGGAGGAACCAGATTTCATCCACAAGTTGATGATATCAATGGGGTTCCAGAGGACCTCGCCGTACGCTGACTGGGAGGCAGCTGCGGTGAAAATGCCAAGGAGACCGACAATGGCTGGTGACATTAATTAGAAAGTTGAATAGAGTGCAAGAAAATGAGAATCTTACTGAAGATGAAGGGAATCACGATGGCTTGTACGTTCTGAGCGCTCGGCTTGTTGGCATATCTCGAAAAGTCGGCGATGTTGAGGCCGAGCGTGGAGTAGTTACCCAAGACTCCGTTGAGATCTAAAGTTTTCATGTATCAGTGGATGAAACACAAGACTGGAACTGCCTCACTCACTGTTAAAGAAGGCCCATGCCAAAGTGGCACCGTGAATGGTAGTGCCCTTGGAAATCACAGTGCTGTGACTAATTGTTCCACCGGCCTTATGCAATGTGTCACCAAAGACAGCCAGGAAGACGATCGGAGCGATGATACTCTTGAAGGCGAAGAAGTATTGAACCTGCAATTATTAGCCCAATGTCCAGCTGACAAAAGGATGTATTGAGCAGTACCTTGGTATATGGGATACACAAGAAGGGAAGCTGAAGGAGGAAGTAGAGCACGAATCCACACATTCCTGCAGTAGTGATGCCCTCGGATTCCGGGATGTGATTCGGGATGTTGGCAAAGCTCGGCCAGATGGCTGTTAGTAGAACGGTCATGCATTGACCTCCAGTTGTGGTTTGCACACTATAAGACATCTCTCAGTCACGAACCTTGCAACGGCAAGAGGACAAAATGCACTTACCCGAGCCAGACAATGGCAAGAACACAGCGGGACAGCACAACAAAGTAGCTAAAGTAGTAGCCAAAAGGCATGCGAGAGAGAACCGGGAAGGGGGTGTGCAGCTGTGAGAAAGTCAGTCAGTCGATGAGGAGCCACAATCACGGAGAGAGAAACTTACAATAGCTCCGATTCTTCCATTGCATGTAATGACGAGGCCCATGAGAAAGTTACCAAGAACACAGGCTCCAATTGCCATTCGCCAACTAAGTCCGACAGCAATCATGGATGAGGCTATACCGCAAGGCATTAACAATCTGCGATCTTCCTGTGGCTATACATCATAAGGTAACAAACTTACCGACCTCCCAGTTCGACACAGCCCATGCGTCTGCCATCCAATAAGCCACATAGGCGCCCCAATTCCAGGTTCGCTTCGAAGGCGGGATGGGATCAAAATCCGCATTGGACAAGTTCTTGGACGGCGCAAAGGAGCTCGGTTCCTGGTCAACTTCGAGGCTGAAGTTAAATCCGAATCGTCGCCGCCTCACAGCACCGACATGCGCCGGTTCCGAGTCGGAAGTGACTCCGAAGCCATTCTTAGTGTCCGAGCCGTCTGATTGCATCTTGGGGTAGGGCAGGGAAAGCGAAGCGCAGCGCCAACTCAATCAAGAGGAGTGCACTAGAGAGACCGAGCTGTTGGAAACAAATGCCAAGCGTTGCAATGGGAATTGAATGAGGGGAGTTTGGGATTGATATCCCAGAAAAAACACGCTAAAAAGCTTATCTCCGCAATCGATAAAATCATAAGACCTATTGATAAGCCAGAAGGGATCCAGCTTAGCTTTATCGCCACCCAACTCTAATCCGTGGTGTCCCGTCCCAACCTGGCCAGTGAGATTTATGAACGTTATCTTCTGTGATACGCTGAAGTGTGACTAAAACCGAGGGTCTCACTGGTTCTTATCTGGCCTGAAAAACTAACATCAGCTCGCTCAGCTTACTACCTAGACAGGTTTGCCACAGATCAATGTCAATTGATATCGCGTGCCTGCTAACCTGATATAGCTACAATAGTCCACAGACAACGCGCTATTCAAGATCTCGAACCCATGACCCCACGGTGGACTCCCGATCTCCCGATATGGAGCCTCCAGTAACAAGATATGATTGGTCGCTTATCCAATGGCCCGCTACGTTCCCTTTCGAAGGTCTCCGCCACCAAGGGCACCTCATACCGTCAATTCGTCGAATTCTATTGGGAAAGCCTAAAGCCGCCCTTGTTGATATCTTGATAACCGCCTAGTGATGGAAGTGTTTCCGGTCTGCCGGTAAGAGAGGTCTAGAGCGAAAGCGGGGGTACCGAAATTACATACAGCTGCCGATTAGTTTAGCTAACGGAAACAGTGGCCCGGCGGCCGATCCAATATTCAGCCGGCGGCCACTTGACATTCTTCTGCAGATACGGTAGACATGAGATGAAGTTTATATAGCGTATTCAGACCCGTATCTCGGGTCTTTTAAGAATTATTTAAGTCAGTGCGTTCTGAAAGCTTTTAACAGTGATTTGACCACCCAGCTTAAGAGTCGCAAAGTTAAACACGGCAAAACGGAAGCCCGTGAACCACTGCCACCTGTTGTGGAGCACAAAAATGCCGAGCTGCTTCCAGTTCTCCCCGTCAAGACTATAGTAGAAATGCGCCTCCCTCACGGGAGACAGACCGAAAGCCGGGGTCACATCAGCATCAACACGAAGCCAGATCTCGTGAGCGTCTATGAGGGGTCCCGCTGATACGACCGTGCCTCTACTGACAGTCTGCCACTGTTGGTTCATGCTAATATCGTTCACAAACACGATCTGGGTGCCATTCGTACCCTTGTGCACGCCAATATATGCGGATTCATCGCGGAATATGGCTGCACCGGCACGATCACCTTGAATGAGACCGCTGATATTGAGGTGCCAGGTCGCCACAGATCGTGGGCCTGTGATTCGATGAGTAAGAGTGTTTCTTGCATTAAACAGATCCCCAACGACAGAGGCAGTCTTGAGAGTCAAGCCGTCTGACCCGAGCTCGAAGTACTCCGCATCAGGGCTGTGATTCCACTCCCATTCCGGATGCAAGGCTGGTGCGGAAAAGTCATCAAGACGTTCGACACCGGGAACAGTCATGTTTGTCTTGACCGGCATTGGATAGGTCACTCCCCAGCCGCCATTGGCATCGAGTACAATTGATGGCCAGTCATCCTCAGACCATGTGATTGGGGCCAGGACAGGGATGCGGCCGGCGGGATATGCATCCATGAAGGCGAGGTAATGCCAGTCGCCTTCAGGAGTGTCCACCATGCCGCCCTGGTGAGCATATCCGGCGTTGGGGAGTGGCCCGGAGAGGTTATCCCAGAACCCCCGGGCTTCGTATGTGCCGAACGGCTCAGTTGAGCGAAGGATGTATTGGCCGCTAGCAACTTTTGTAGGACATACCCAGTAGTGGCCGCGAGTTTTGTAGAGATGGGCGCCTTCGAGATATAAATCGTCACCACTATCGTAAATTGTCTCGGTACGCACAACGCTCAAGCCATCATCGGACAGTTGAGTAATGCGAAGCTTTCGGTTGCCCCAAGTCACGTACATGGTATCATCATCATCGAAGAAGATTCCATTGTCGTAGAAGCACTCGTCAATGGTACCCTGAAGAGTCCATTCCCAATTGGCATTCTCGCCGTCGTTGTCGGCAGCACCATTACCTGGAGCAGTGTAAAGAAACGTCTTACCAGTGGACTGAATGCAGCCCATCCAGTAGAACTTGTCGTCAGACTCGCGATACCTCATTGAGCTCGCCCAAACACCTTTGACATAGGCGCGGTCATTATCGCCATTGAGTCTGTATTCCTCTCCAAAATCCGCAACGTCGGGAACGCTGTGCGTTATGGGTGTCCAGTTAACCAAGTCGTAGGATTTCAAGACTGGTGCCCCAGGAGAAAAGGCGAAGGTCGATGTCGAGTAGTAGTAGACAGAGCCAACGCGGAAAACATCTATGTCTGGAAGATCCTGGAATAGGACTGGATTGCTGAACGCTGTTTCTTGTCGCATGTCTAGCGGCATTCTGGCCGATGTCATGGCACAGAGACCTGACATTAGGCCAACTACCAGCGATAAAGAGACGCAAGATCGCATTGGTAGGCAGAGATTAGTTCTAATTCGGAGACAAATCTAAAAAAAAAAGTGAGCTGGAAGAAATGAGGAATATTGCCCTGTTATTATATACACAGGGGACTGCCCATAAGGACGAACAAAACTGGTGCGGTAGTGAGTTGTGTTTGTTTCATTTAACCGGCATAATACCCTGAAGTCTGTCATAACAATCTCGTTGGCCCTTGGTTTCTTGGCAGCATGTGTCCCGCCTCATGCTTTCCGCGCCAATCACGATATGCTCCCCTTCCGGGGCAAGATCAGAAAAGGAAATCTAATAATGCTTGCATGTTGCAGTTTTTACACCAGTAATTTGTTGCGTAAGTATTGTAGACATGAAATCCCATACGAGACTAAATCCGGCCTAGGTACAGGGTAACAGATGCGTCATTTTCCCGGTCTGGAGATAGTACCCAGTATTAATACGGAGATTTTGACTTATCACGAATAAAGACAACAGTTAGTTGAAATATTTCTGGAAGTCATACGCATATTGAAAAATGCTTCCACACTTCAATCTGCTGTACGTTCAAGAACCAAGTGGTTACAGAAAGGATCCACCTAGAAATATCGGCTCGCTAATAGTTTAGATTCTACAAAGCAGGTTATTTAACACTCGAGCTAATAGTATTGTCAATCTAGCTTTGTCTTTTTATTGCACTCCACGACCGACTGACTGTTCTTTTAAGCAAACTCTTTCTCATTTGCACTAGTAATGCTCTTCTCATCCACCTCACCTCGGATCTTTTGTTGTTCAGCGATAGCCTTATCTGCCTCAAAGTAAATCTCGGGTCTCGCGAGCTGAGTGGCAGTCTTGTTGCGGAAGACAAAAATATCCGGGTGTTCGGCGAAAAAGCGGTCAATGTCTTCTAAAGAGCGATTTGCAGTCTCGGGGTAAAACAGGTAGGTAATTGGCACGAAGGCAGCGCAGATGACAGCCCAGATCACCCAGAAACGGTAGCCGAGATTGGCAATACCTGGAGGTGTAATCTGAGCAACCATGTAGTTCATGATCCTAAACCATGGTGTTAGTAAATATTGGCAGGATCACGTCATTCACTTACCAGTTGGAGGCCATGGCCAAACTAGCACCCTTGGCCCGGAAAGCCAAAGCGTTCACCTCTGTAGGATAAAGCCACGGCACTGCCAAAACACCCATACCGAACGCTGCAAAGAAAGCAAAGAAACCGAAGATGGCTGCGCAACCCCATGAAAATCGGTTTCCCTTACCAAGTTCGATCTGGGAGGCAGCAATGGAGATGATGGTCCAGCAGGCAGCACAAGCGGCAGCAGACACCATCATGACACGACGTCTGCCGTAACGCTCAATGACAAACCAGGCGAGAAAAGAGAAGACGAGATAGTCGATCGATCCAGCAGCAGCAAGGACCCGGGCCATGAATTCGCTGAGGCCGAGGGCGTTGATAAAGACATAGGTCATGTAATAGCTAGTTACGTTAATGCCTGAAATCTGGTAATATATGTTAGCCATCACTTTATCATTGAACTATGAGTGGAGCAGATGAGAAAAAAGGAACTAACTTGGTTCATGCATTGCATCCATGCGCCGAGAATCATTCTCCTCACTGCACCTGATGGACCACGGCCAGTGATCAGCTGCCACCATGTACATTCATCACCACGTTCCTTGTCCATGATGTCTTTGATGATGGCATATTGAGTTCGTACTGAGGGCGAGTCCACAGTTGCACCGTGCCCTTCAAGCGCGGCAAGGACCTCAAGAGCTTCTTCATGTTTCTCCTTGCGCATAAGCAGACGGGGAGAGTCGGGGAGAAAAGGACACATCAGACAGACGAGAGCCGAGAAGACTTGGAGAGAAAATTAGCAAACCTTCTTATTTCAGGACATATGAAACAGAACTCACAGATCTGAAATGCGAGAGGGAATCTCCAGCTGGCACTTCCTGGAACGAAAGAGAAGCCGAGTGTTAACCAATTGGAGATAGAAAAGCCCGTAATACAGTTGGCCATCTGGATGATAATTAGCTTGCCACGGCTGGCGGTCTTTGCTGTTTCTGACTGCCATACGCCAGCAGTCGAGGTATTAATGCCAGTTCCGATACCTGGGTTATGAGTGTTAGTAAAAAGTACCTTCCATTGACAAAAACTTAGGTCTTACCTGCTACAACGCGTCCAACGTACATCTGCGTAGGGCCAAAGACAGTAGCCTGTATAATAGCACCGAGAGCAATGATCAAACTTCCAACAATGAGTGACCTGGGTCGTCCAAGCTTATCACCTGTATATAAAGTCGAGAGTGCACCACCAAAACAGCCGAGGTTGTATACAGATGTCATGGTTCCTTGGGCCTCGACAGAAGGGTGACCCACGGTCTCGATGAAATCTTTGGAAACAAGGATGTTACCAAAAACTCCCTGGGGTTGGTCTTGTCAGCGAGCCCATCTGAAAGATTGTCTGCTTGTAGTACCTGGTCGTAGCCATAAAAGACTAGCACAGTTGATGCTGCGAGACTGATCCAGACAGTCAGGCTCTCTCCAGAGCCGCCAAGGTACTTTCGGCCCATGATGTTATGTCAGCCACCAAGGACAGGCGAGCTGTGTCGGCTGGTGAGGTTGCTAGCAAATGCTTATCAATGGCTTGCAAGATCAGGAACGTGTGTAGGATGGAAATGGGATGCTGATCGCCTTTTGTACTTGACTGTCAAAAGTCACTTCGATCCTTTTAATACAAAGCGGACTGCGGGCCTTGAGACATGATCAGCATCTTAATTGGCGAATCAAGATCTCACCGTGATTGGAAGCCTGTTTGCAACCTTGACTTCTCCGCATTCTGGCTCCCCAGAAATCTGGAGCCGACAGCTAAATTCCGGGGTAACGCTAGCCGAGTCGGCACTCTTATTCTTCCGCTTTTGGACTGGTGCTTGGTGAGTGAACTAGACTCAACTGAGTAAATTTTGCGGTGGGTGAGGATCTCTGCGGGGTTCGGTTACAAACATGCTGGCCCCGACTCCCAAAGGGGAAATTTAAGCGCTGGGTGCAACATTTCATCATATCACCATCTGCCCCTGCGGGCCCTCGAACTAATAACATCTAGGTATGCATGACACGTGAGAACCCCGTGGGGTCAATATCGTGGGGAAGCATACTTTAGAGTCCCAGTCATATCATGAGTTACCAACACGCTCTGCATGGAGTATAGACCAGACGTAAGACATTCCCCCCCTAGGTCGCTAAAAGTCGAAAACTGACTTTTTGTCTCTTTATTCCCCTTGCCTACACATTCGAACCGCTTTGTGCATCATATACAAGCTGGCTTTCAGCCGCCAGCCATTCATCAAGTTTCCTTTACCTTGAGCAAAGAATACACATACATAAAAAGGGCAATGGCATTCACGGTCAAGGGGAAGACTGCTGTTGTGACGGGAGCAGGCTCGGGAATATGCTATCATTTCTCGAAGGTCCTCCTTGAGAGGGGATGCAATGTCGTCATGGCCGATCTTGCTCTGCGGCCTGAGGCGAGCGAGTTGCTAAAGGCCTACCCTTCGCAGGCGTTATACCAGCCGACCGATGTCAGGAAATGGGATCAACTCGATCACGCGTTCGAGGTTGCTGGGAAGGAATTTGGAGGGTATGACATCGTATGTCCCGGTGCTGGAGTGTACGACCCGGTAAGAATTATTTAAGTCCATAATACTACGTCTGTTAGGGGGTCTAATCTTTGCGCTTTCCAGCCCTTCTCCAATTTCTGGCACCCAGCCGGTACAGCGTTGTCAAAAGATGTGCACAGCGCGAGCCGTTTTGCCAGTCTTGATATCAACCTGACGCACCCGATCTACGCAACCCAACAAGCAATTGCGCATTTCACAGAGAACAAGAAACCGGGATCCATAGTGCACATCTCATCTATTGCAGCACAAGGGCCAGTCATGTCGGTGCCCATGTACTGTGCAGCCAAGGCTGGAATATCTCATTTCGTCCGGTCACTCGCAGGCCTCGAGACACCTCCCGCAAGTACCGACTTGGCTAGCATCCGCGTGACAGCAGTTGCACCAGGAGTCATCAAAACTCCCCTGTGGACGGAGCATCCAGAGAAGCTGGCGTGGATTGATGGGGCAAAAGACGAGTGGGTAGAGCCTGAGGATGTCGCGCTGGTAATGCTCAGTCTGGTTGAGAGGGACGAACATGTCGGAGGAACGGTGTTGGAAGTTGGAAAAGGTCAAACAAGAGAGGTTCATGTTCTCAATGATGTTGGGCCATCTGGCTCGGGACATACCGTCAGCGGCTTGGGTAAGGGCATCGACGAGGTATGGGAGATTCTTTCAGAAAAGAAGCATGACTAAGATGGGTTACCAATTTTTATGACAATATAGTTCAAGATAGTTTAAAACAACTTGGTATTCCTCTCTTTATTTGCATTATTAAGAACTTGTGATAAGAAAGGTGAGTAATGGGGTGCCATTCCTTTTCACTGACAAGGATAGAACCTCCCCTGTTGCTCTTCCAGCCCCTTTGTATGTTAACATTTACTCAGAGCTTGGGTTACACTATTACCGAGATGGCCAGAGGGATACAGACGCAATAAGCTAGTTCCAAAGAGGAGCAGGAACCTTCCCGACTGGTGCCCGGTGTCGCGAGCAAAAGTGGCTCTCTTTCAAGCCCTCAGATAACAACATACATGTGACCAGGAATAGATTGCGGAGCCGATCACTTTATTAGCCTGCAAATGGATGCTCGCAAGCATGATATGGAGCTGAGGATAAAATCTCCCGATTCGGAAATTTAGGCGTTGGATCAGCAGTCGTATAACATCATGCATGATTGGAAATGGTGGCGGTGTACTAAAATTTGGCTAAGCTCACTAGTCATCTTGAAAGGGCAACTCTGGTTTAAAGAGGATACGATTAATCAAGGCAGACCTCATACAGCGCTCATGGAGACTTTATTATCCTCGCTCTTCTGTGGTGCCAGAAACCTCCACGTCAGAGAATATTGATTTCCGCCATTGCTAGCGAACAGATTGGACTTATTTTTTATTTTCCTGCCTGCGAGATCGTGTTTCCTTGGCCAGTGCCTCATCATCTTCGTTTGACCGTCGCTCTCTGCTCTCAAGATAATGATTACCACTGATACCGACGTACTCATTGTCGGCGCTGGCATGTCAGGCATTGGATTCGCCGTCAAATTGCAGAAGAAGTACAGACATGCCACTTTCGAGATTTATGAGAAAGGCACCGAAGTTGGAGGAACCTGGGCCGTTAACACATATCCTGGCTGCGGAGTTGATGTCCCTTCCCACTTCTACTCGTACTCATTTGGCCTGAACCCGCATTGGACGCGCAAGTTCACCATGCAGCCTGAGATTCTGGCCTATTTTAAAGACGTATCTCGCCAGCAAGGTATCGACTCCCACTTACGTCTCCAGCACAGCGTCACCAAAGCCGAGTGGCAGCCTGAGTCTAGTACCTGGCTCGTCGAGATCCTCAACCACCGCACCAACGACGTCATCCAGAGACGAACAAGCGTCCTCATCACAGCTGTCGGTGCCCTCAGCATCCCCAAAAAGTGCGAGGTCCCAGGCCACGAGACTTTCGAGGGCAACATCTTCCACTCTGCAACTTGGGACCACAGCTTCGACCACGCCAACAAACATGTCGTGGTGCTTGGGAACGGCTGCAGCGCCACGCAGTTCGTGCCCGTCATTGCACAGACTGCCCAGAGCGTCACCCAATTTGCGCGCCAACCGCACTGGTTACTCGAGCGTCCCAATCCAGAGTATTCGGCCGTGTTCCGCTTCGTGATGCGCTGGGTCCCTGGTGCCATGATGTTACTCCGCGCCGCCATCTACACCCAACTCGAGGCTGAGTGGCTCATGTTCAACACTGAAACGGGCAGCAACGCGCGTCAGAAGTTGAGCGAGGCATCGAGAAAGTACATTAGAGAGAATGCACCAGCGGAGTATGTCAATGCGTTGGTGCCCAAGTTCGAAGTTGGTTGCAAGCGTCGTGTGTTTGACACGGGATACCTCGAGGCACTACATAGGCCTAACCTTCATCTTATCTCAGATGATCCTGTTGAGCGTATTGGCCGGCGAAGCGTCTTTCTCCGTTCGGGCAAGGAACTCCCAGCTGATGCCATTGTGCTGGCTACTGGGTTTGAGACGACAAAACTGCTCGCGCCGATGGAGATTATCGGTCTTGAAGGGGAAAGCGTTGAAGATCATGTAGGCACTCATCATCCGCATTAACCTTGATTGTATATGGATCAAGTGACTGACAGATTCAATTGAATAGTGGAACAAGCATAACGATGGACTCCCCCAAGCCTATTACGGAACTTGCATTGCCGGCTTCCCAAACATGTTCATTATGATGGGCCCCAACACACTCACTGGTCATCTGTCGGTTACATGGTCGACAGAGTGCCAGATAAACTTCACCCTCCGCGTCATCGATTCTGTTTTGCGCTCACTGCACCCGCCGAAAATATCTCTTTGGCCCTCGCCAACAGTAGAGGCTGTCCAAGTCAAACAGCGGGCCGAAGATGAAGACAACTTATGGATTCAGTCCAAGTGTAAGAGCTTGGTTTGGTCATCCGGATGTAGCAACTGGTATGTCGAGCCCAAGACGGGTAAGAACCTGTTGATCTATCCTGAATGGCAGTGGCACTTTTGGTTGAGAAGTATCTTCATTCGATGGGGAGACTTTCGGTTTGTTTCTGACCTTAAGAGCGGTGGCCAAATATCTCCCCTGTGGGTATTGCTACCGGCTCTCGCTGGTCTTTCATTCGTTGTGGATAAAAGTACGGTATCTTCTGTATCGCGGTTGTTGAATGACAAGCTTGTGTTATCCTTTGCCAGTAGATAGTGGAGGAAGAGTTAGCATATAAGGGTATTAGATAAGAAACACCCTAACCTAAACGATATTGGCCTCTTTAATTATAGTATTAACAGAATTATGTACAAGGTGAGAGGATGCGTCTTCGAATCTCGCTATCAGTATCCAAGCCAGAGAAAGATCAATTACAGCAATCCATAATCTCTTCGCGATCCATGCCCCATTCTCTGAGTAAATCATCCACTCGGTATCGTGAGCTCCATCCCAACTCGATCTCAATAGATTCAAGTAGCCTGAGAACAATAGCACGATCAGCTTTAGTGTGTAGACAACGACCTGCAAGGTAAACAGGCTGCAGCATATGGATTTTCGCGGCTGCTTCCAGTCTAGACAATGCTATAGCACAGATCTCTGCAGCATGATATTGCAGCACCCGTTTCATCTGGTTAAACCTCATTAAGGCATCGAAAGGGCCTTCCGAGGCAGAGGGTCGCGAAACAGGAGCTGCTGCTAGCCCTTCTGGCTTGTGAATCAAGAGGAGTATCTGACTCATGTGGTAGGACTGTATACTAGAGGCACACATACTGTTGCTATACCAAGTCTCGTAACAAATCAACGATTCAGGCTGATGCCTACATGTCCGACACCCTTCGGCATTGTGACGCGGCGCGTATCGCACTCGGTATGACGGTCGAAAGCTAGAGGGCAGTCCCTGGTGCCATGTTTCAAAG